GTCCGCTCGCCCGGCTCAGGCCGGCCGCCAACCCGGAAAGAAGAGCGGCGACGCAGGTCCGGCCCGCGGGGCGGCGAGGGCTGAGCGCGAGGCTCCTGGGGGGTCCCGAGAGGGAGCCCCAGCCGCAGCTCTCGATCCCTCGGTCCCGAAGCGCGTCCGCGCCGCCGCCCGCACGACCCTCGCAGGCCCCTCGCGCCACTCTCTAGCAACAGGCGAAGAGGGGAGAGACTCCGCCCACGGCGCCTTAGCCCCGCCCACTCCCCGCCCCTGTGGCGCGGGGGCGGGGGGGGGAGCCGAACGGTTGCCGTGGCGACGCGTTGCGTTGGGCCTCCGGATAGTCTCTGAGTGCCGCCATGGCCAGCGCTCCACAGCGCCTGTCCCGGCCTGCCGCGTGCAGCTCGCGGTCGCCCGAGCGGCCGCTGCAGGTGAAGGTGGTGGGGCTCTTCAAAAGCTCCAGCTTTCAGGTCGCGAAGAGCACGGCTGAGGTAACCGCGGGGAAATCCCAAGTGTGGTGTCCTCGGCGCCCCCCAGCCAGGGCAGCTGGGACCGCGTTCTCGGCTCTTTGGTGACGCCGAGGTCGCCATTCTGTGGAAAGAAGGGGCCGAATGGGGATGGGAGGCTCCGCTGGATCTGGCCGAGGAGCAGGAGTTTGTAGGAACAAGTGCGGGTTGGGGCAAGGTTTGACTTGGAAAGGGGCACCCCACAAGGGACAGGAAGTGAAGGAAGCGTTCAGAACCATCCAGGGAAAAATGGTAATTCCCACCCCTGTGTCCAGACATTTCGTTCCTTATCATCATCATCATCAACATCATTATCATTATCACCATTACTGTTTCGTTTTTGAGACAGGATCTCGTTGTATAGTTCAGACTGGCCTCAACTCTACCTCGACAGTCCTGCCTCAGCCTCCCAAGTCCTGGGATTACAGGCATGCACCACCATGCCCAGCTCCACATTAATTTTTAAAATTGAATTACAGATTTTAAAAAGTTGTGAAAACGTAGGAGGAAATGTTACTATGTAACAGGATGCTTTTACAAACCCCTTCCCCAACTACGCATTCGAGAAGGTTCTTTAAAATTTCATTAATAGTCACTGCCTTTCACCAAAATTAGCTGTTTTACGGATTTCTCAGTAGCCCACGAGTGCTTTGGAGATCCACGAATTTCTTTGTAAACATTCTGAACGATATAAAAGGAAAACTCGTGAAGAAACTGAAGAATTTGGCTGGGTCTGTGTACACCTTCAACCCGCATGCAGGAGAGCTGTAACAGTGTAAAAATTGTTGAAAGTAGCCTTCAGCTGATCTTTGGGGTTTTCTGTAGAAATGCTGCCTAGGCCAGGCTGCTCTCCAAAGACCCTGGCACGATCACACCTTATTCATGTTTGTAGCTGGATCCTGGGCAACAAAATGTTCCCTAGTAGACTTCATCTTCAGAAATCCCTGCTCCAAGGTACACAAAGTGAAAGAAAAGTTTTTAATTATATCAAACGAGAAAAATAATTTAAAAAGCAGGTAAAATTTCTATCGAGATTGAAAGACAAGTGTTCAGAAGTCTATGAAAGTGATACAGGGATCATCCAAAGAAGTAGAAATCACAGATTGTGTTGATTGGACAGATAGGACCAGGAATTTTTTTTTTTTTTTTTGTCTTTTTGAGACAGGGTCCTGCTATGCAGCTCAGGCTGGCCTTGAGCTCACTTTGTAGCCCAAGCTAGCCTCGAACTTGCAACGATCCTCCTGCGTCAGCCTCCCAAGTGCTGGGATTACAGGCGTGAGCCACCATGCCCTGCTAAGAGCAGGAATGTTTATGACCAAAGTTGTATTTAATAAATTTTTTTTTCCTTGCTTTTCCTGGCTCTTTTTCTGAAGGCACATTTTCTATGCCTGCCCCACACTGTAGGAAACGTATTGGTAGTTTTTGTTTTCTGTGAGGTGCTGATAATCTCCTGGGCCATAGGATCTCAGTCATAGCTATTCAGCTTTGTCCTTGCGTTGCAAAAGTAGCCACAAACATGTCAATGAATGGTGGTGTTCCAATAAAACTTTATTTTATAGACACTAAGTTTTGACTTTCATATATTCTTCACAAAACATGAAATATTCATCTTTTGATTTTCTTCAACAACTTAATAAAAATCTAAAGAGTAGGTCTGGGGCTGTAGCTCAGTGGGAGAACACTTGTTTAACATGCACAACACACTGAACTTGATCCCCAACACCACAAAAATAAAACAGAAAATCTGGAAATTAATCTTGGCTTTCAGGCCCATTATAAAAACAGCCAAACTCACTGGCCACAGTTTGCCAATTTCTGCTGCAGAAGACAGTGGGCCAAGAAAACATTATCTGTAATATTGATATAATTGATATAATTTCCCCTACTATTATTCTATTCTAATATGAAAACACATCAATGTAAATTCAGTTTGTTCTCTTCATAGAGGGTATTTGAATGTAGTCCCAACATTATTTGTGAGCAATCCCAGATGCCTGATTCACTGACAAAGATTTAGATTTGTAAACAGGGCAAGTGTGTATAACGTATTTTAATTTAAATGTACTGTAGTTCATTCTGGAACAAATACTAGATTATGAGAAAGTATGTAGTGCTTAGTTTGAAAACTGCTAGGCTTATTGTTTTTCTGGATAGTTCCTCAGAAAAAGCAGGCGTCATGCAGAGCTGCTTCAGACTGAACTCACAGGAACTCCAGTGCTGGTGGGGTGCAGTAGTCTAAGAAGGACATGGGCCACTTGCTCTTGCCCTGTTCTGGTCCCCCCACACTAAAGTAGGACACATTCTCAGCCCGGCTCACTTGCCCTCGGAGAGCTTACCTCTGGTGAACGTGCAGGGCCGGTGTCGTGTCAGATGGGTACAGAGCCTCCAAGCCCCCTCTCGGCTGAGTAGGTACCAGGTGCAGCAGGTGGCCCTTCCCTGCTGGCCCATTTGTTTCTCATATCCATTCAGAAAACGGCAAAAGGAAACTAATACCTGAAACAAACTTTGTTTTTTGGACAGGGATTGCTAACGAGAATTTTCTCTGATTCAGGCAAAACAATGTACGTTCAATCAAAAAACTCAACACCAAACCTTAACGCTAAACCTAAGCTCATTTAGTATGTACTTCTCTTCTTCCTGAGGAGGATAACTATAATATTCTTTTGGGGGCCGGGGATATAGCTCACTGGCACAAGCACCTGCCTGGCAAGGTCCTGAGTTCAATTCCCGATACCAAAAAAAAAAATTCTCTGGTCATTCTCCTTAAATCAGTGAATTAAAGCAATAGCATTTACTTATTCTCACTACAAGTAAGGTATCTAGAGCCACTGAAGTTTAGCAAGAATTTAACTTAGGGAAAGCAAGTCCTGAAAGAACAGCAGATCACAAAACCGTTGACAGTAACTTAAGTTGCTGTGTGAGTGTCCAGTGAGTGCAGATTAGCAGCAGGGAGACTCAAGGAAGGCTGACACAGTCCTTGCTCTCGGAAGCTTGGAGACAGATAAGCCAGAGCCCAGTGTGGACCATAGTGTGACTGGCAGAGGACTCTGGGAGCAGGCAGGTGGCACCTTAGACTGTGTGGCCTGGGTATGTGCTGCACAAGGCTCCCTGGAGACCCCATAAAAATTGGAGAAACGATTTTGACTTTAAAAGAGAACTTACTCTAATTATTCTATTTTGAAACCTAGAGTCTGAAGAATACTTATCCATCCAAATTTGAAGACCCTATAATAGTTCCTCTTCAAGAATTCGCATGGGATCAATATCTACAGGAGAGAAAAAGGGTAAAGGGTATCTGGGGTGAGGGGGATACCGATGACAAGCAAAATTCTGAACTATTTATCTGCATTTTTTTTGGGAAATAGAATTTTAATGGAACTAGATTTCATTTGTCTAAATTACACATTATTTATTTTGCTTTTCCTAAATTATTTCAGTTATTTGACCAGGCTGATTTTTTTTTTTTAAACTGTAAAATATTACAGAACTTTCCCTTTGGGAGTGTGTGGTAAAGGTGAGGTTTTTTTTGTTTGTTTGTTTGGTTGGTTTTGTTTTGTCTTTTTTTGAGGCAGGGACTCACTATGCAGTTCAGGCTGGCCTTGCGCTCACTTTGTAGCATGCTGGTCTCGAACTCACAGTGATCCTCCTGCCTCAGCCTCCCGAGTGCTGGGATTACAGGCATGCACCACTGCACCCGGCATTAAAGGTGAGTTTTGAACTCTCAGTAGTGCTGTCTGCCCCTGCTGAGGTGACCCCTCTCTCCCTGCGTGTCACTTTAACACTTCCTGGGACACGTTTGCTCTCCAGTTGCTGTGACCTGGCCTTTACTCAATGCGTTTGGGAAACTGCAGAGCTCAGTGCCAGCAGAGCTTATTCAGGGATGGGAGATAGATAGGTTTGTGGCCAGGCGTCACTGGTCAGATGGTGCTACTGCCTGGAGCATGTGACAGAGAGTAGCTCATGCTGGGGTGTGTGGAAACTGGTACATCTGCTTGTCTTTCCTAGTCTGGTCTCAGTCCTGACTCGTCTGCCCTACCTCATCTCTCCAGTGGATGATGAGATTTGCATTTCCCTTATCAGAACCATTTCTAGTCCTCGGTGTCAGTTGCACAAGGATGTGTTGTGACCCTGTGGTTAAGTAACACACATACATGGTGTTGCTTTACTCGGTCACATGAATAGTGCAAGACCGAGTGAAGAGTACAAATTGCTAAGTCTCATACTTTCAAAGCCATAAAAAGTTTCCACTGGAGTTTAAAAAGAACCATAGAAAGCACGTATAGATGGTGCTTATTTTATGCCAGGCACTATTCTAATGGCTAAAACTAGGACAGTCCTAGCCAAACTGGGACAACTGGTTACCCCCACATAAAACAATACGTTTTAAAATTGTTACCGTGGAGCTTATGATTACTCCCTACCAGTCCCATGCCCTCTGCCTGCAGAAAAACCCTGACCTCATGGTCTGTGGATTGCGATGGCTCCTCCTACATATTCCCGCTGTCTTCTTTAAGACTGCTGGAGATTCTGTCCCCCAGCTTTTCTGCCGGAGAGCCTGGCGATGTCTTGAGCACTCTTTCTCCTGCCTTTCAGGGATCCTGCATGAGACCTCTAATCAATCACTGCTGCTTCTTGCCAGCTATTCTGCATTCTTTATCTTTCCCTTCATCTCTCACATTGTCCTCTGGATATATGTCACCTTAACCTTTTCCTTTATGGGCCAGTTTTTTTTTTTTTTTTGGTCCTTCCTGAGCATAAGCTTTTGTGCCTAAGGGCCTCAGTGAGTTAATTCATTAGGTCCAGCTGGCCTTGTGCTTTTGCAGAATGTAGTGCCACTCTAAGGGAAGGCAAAATGTAATGCCACTCTAAGGGAAGGACTTTAGAGTATTAGGAAGAACTTTCTGTCCCCTCCAAAAGAGACAGCCTCATAGGTCTTTGTGATGGAAGGCCCTGGAAACCTTCTGGTTCAGCCTGTTTTCTTCTTTTTGCCTTTTTGAGACAGGGTCTCGCTATGCAGCTCAGGCTGGCCTTTAACTCACTTTGTAGCCCAGGCTGGTCTCGAACTCACAGCAATCCTCCTGCCTCAGCCTCCCGAGTGCTAGGATTACAGGCGTGTGCCACCACTCCCACCTAGCCTGTTTTCTGGAGGCAAGAGGGAAAGTCTCCCATGTACAAAAGAGACAGAGACAAGGCGTTATATCTTCAGCCTCTGAATATAGTGCATCTTCCCATTTCTCCCATCAGGCTGACTAAAGTGTCCACAATTAGATTTTGTTTTTCCTTTTTGGGTTTTGGATCTTGTGAAATATAACACTGATAAATTTGACCTCTTCATGGAATATTGACATGTTAGGATTTATCAGTGGTTTATTGTTTGTTTGTTTATTTGGTTTTTTGGGGGACAGGTTCTTGCTTTGTAGTTCAGGCTGGCTCTGAATTCTCTCTGTAGTCCAGGCTGGCCTTGAACTCACAGCTATTCGATCCTTCTGCCTCAGCCTCCGAGCATTGGGATTACAGGCCTGTGCCACCACGCCCAGCTTGTCAGGTTTATTCTGTGCCAGAAAGCAGGTTTTGAGAAGGGCACAGTAAGAAAGCAACAGGATGTTAAATCTGAGAGGAACTGAGGATGGAGCAAGTAGCAAATGAAGACAGATTGTACCCCTCACTAGTGTTTTCCAGACAGTGGTCTCCGGGCCAGCAGCAATTCCATTTCCTGAGATGTTGCTGGAAATGCAGATTCTTGGGCCCCATCCCATAGTAGGAAGTCTGGCGGGTGCAGGAACCTGTGTTTCTGACTACTTGCTGAGGTCTGAGAATGGCTGCACCAGTGTTTCATGGTTTGCAGGGCGAGCTCTGAGTAGTAATAAACTGGGTCTCCTCAGAGGAGCCTTGGTCTGTGGCCACACACGGGAGGTTTAGGCAGTTGACCAGCAGCATTGCATGGATAAAAATACTGACTTTATTTTTAAGGAGACTTAACATATTGAAGATGAGTTTTCTTCCTCATTGCCCCTGACTGTTTGGGAAGTCCCTGCTAGCCCTTGGGGAGATGCCCTACATGTGACCCCACAAACACACACGTTAAAAAAATCCTCTCAGTTCTTTGCATTGAAAACCATTGCTTACCCAGAATCCTTGGTGTTTCCAAGTATACATGCAATAAAATGCACTTCATAAATAAAGACAGTAACTGTTTTCTTTGCAAGTTAATACAATTACGCTATGCACAAAGTAATTTTTATTATCAGATTATCTTGTATGATTGTACCTTTTTTTAAGATTGTTTTTTAGATCATTTTGGGATGTCAGTGAAGTTGAATTCTCTTTTTTTTTTTTTTTTTTGTTTTTCTCTGGTACCAGGAACCGAACTCACGACCTTGCGCTTGCCAGGCAGGCGCTTTGCCGCTGAGCTAAATCCCCAGCCCCTGAATTCTCTAAAATAGTCTTAAGTCCTCTTTGACAGCAGAATTCTGAAAAATGATTTAAAAAAACCACACATTTTAAAAGTATTCAATTCTAGAGTTGATAAATTCAGATTTAGTGTTTGTTGATCCCAAGCTCTGATAGATGGGTTTAGCAAATTGTTTTATATTTTCCGTTGTGTTTTGGGCCCTTTTCCTTTGCAGGAGCTCAGGGGTGAAACCTGGGAGTACTCTTCCAATGTGATGTGTTTTGTCAGTGACCAGCTCCTGGGGGATGCACTTGATCTGCAGAGATGGGCCCAGAAGGTGTGGGACATTGTCGATGTGAAGCCTCCGGCACTGTATGAGGCCCTTACTGTGGATTATTCCACTAAATTCTTAAGAGACACCAAGGTAAGTGACATTGATTTTAAAGAATAAGAGTGGAAACTTTCGTTCTACTGATTCAATATTACTTTTCTGCATCCTAACGAAAGGGATAGAAAAGGTAAGAGATTAGGTCGTAAGCCCTCAGATTGTAGCACAGCAAGATTTGATTGGTAGTGTGTAAAGCAAGTGTATCTTTTTAGAGGGAGAACATCACTGTTCAGATATTTCCACTCCCCTTCAGAGATTCGTATGTATGAATTATTTATTTTAAAATATAAAGACGCTGAGCCAGGCGTGGTGGCATACACCCATAATCCTCATACTTGGAGGCTGAGGCAGGAGGATCACTATGAGTTTGAGGCCAGCCTGGGCTACATGAACACGTTTAAGGCCAACCTGCACTACATAGTAAGACCCTGTCTTAAAAGAACCAACAAATTTAACCAAGAAAGGCTCCTTGGTGTAGCCTGAGCTACTCAGGCCAACCTAGGGGAACACTGTGAGATCTCATCACAAAACAAAACAAAACAAAACAACTAAAAAACTAAACTAAAAACTATAACCTGTATAAAGACAAGCCCCCAGAGCAGGTAGAGCCAGTGTATTCTCTAACACTAATGTACTAAGAATGGAAAGTTTGCAAGGAAACGGGCCATTTTAAATCATATCTCGTGGATGCTAAGAGCAGGTCGGGACATGCCATGGGAATCCTCAGTGCCAGAAGATAGTAAGAAACGTGAGGCCTAAGGGGTGTTCACATGGTGGGAGGTAGAGAGAAAACTAGAAAAGGTCCTAAAGAAAGACCGAGACAAAAAAAAAGAAAGACCGAGACCAGATTCTGAGACAGTCACCAGGTTAGTATGGCGATAGAAATAAAAGTGTTTTGGCCTATTTTTGGTACTGGGAATCAAACCTTGCACTTGCCAGGCAGGTGCTTCTGCCTGCTGAACTCTATCCCCAGCCCAATAAAAGTATTTTGTATGTTGCTCAGAAACCTTGTAGTAACAACTGCCACCTGCTAGAAGCTGTTGTGTACCTATGGTGCCTGTGTCCATAGAACAACCCAGTGCTAGGATCTGAGCAAAGGCAAGGAGAAGAAAACATAGTAGGTGCTGTGTGAATGCTTGTTTGAATAAACAGTGCATTCTGAAAATGCTAGAAAGTCCGGAGATGAGGAAGAATGTAATGTTCATAGTTGATTCACACAGGGACGGGACTCCGGGTATACACAGCATGTTGTGGGAATGCCAGGGGTCAGCAAGGAGGCTGGAATTTGTAGAAAATGAGGCTGTGAAAATGAGGAATCAGCCCAGGATTCTTGGTGCCAGCAGCTCTTAAGGAGAAAACATATGCATTGAAGTGAGATTGGCTGTTTCACAAATGACACGAAAGCCAGAGGGCCAGCTTTGGAAGACAGGTGGGAGCCAAGGGGGGCCAGACAGTGGGACAGCAGGGCCAGAGTGAGTCACAGGACTGCGTGGCAGGAAGTCCCACTGGCCCAGGCTCCACTGTGCCATAGTGAGAGTCACTTTCCAATTCTCCTTGTGTGTTGGCATCACTCCCTGGGTCTCCAAGGGCCCGGGCAGGAGCAGGCCTGCGTCATTTCCCTACAACATGGCTATCACAGGTGGGAGAAGAGGAATCTGGCCCCTTTAGGTTCTAGAGAATGTTTTTTGTTGGTGGTGGTGGTTTTTTTTTTTTTTTCCGATACTGGGAATCAAACTCATGACCTTGCCCTTGCCAGGCAGGCACTGTGCCACTGAGCTAAATCCCCAGCCCCTGTTCTAGAGAATGTGGTGGGACCCTGTGAGAGATCCCAACAGGGGGAGCATTCAAATGGTTAGGAGGGAGGAGGGAAATCTAAAATACCTAAAGAATGGCTGAGACTGGATTCTGATTTACTGCTCACTCTGAGCCAAAGAGTTAGATAGATTTTATCCAGAAGCAAATGAAGCCAACAGAGCCTTGCAGAAAGATTATGATATAATCCTCTGTATTGTTTTTGGGAAAAGAGTTCAGGGCTGTGCCACAGCAGGCTGGTAGCAGGGTGGCCCCTTGCAAAATGCTAGAGCAGCATGGGCAAGAGTAAAGGAAGCTTGAATTAGTTGGTGGTGGCAGTAAGGATGCAAGACTTAGACTGCAGAGAAAGCCTAACGGGGACTCTTCTTTCCTCGTCCAAGCCAGGGACTGGCGCACGTGCAGGTTAGAGCCGTGTGCTGGCTAAGTACGGCTGCACGTCTGGCTGCTACTGGCTGCCATGTACCTGCGTGCCGTTCACTTGATCTCTCTTCTCAGCACTTGCAGGACTGTCTACTCTGGATAGCTCCATAATGATAATCTGGTGATGCACAGGTAAAGTTTATCACACCCGAATAGACTTATTTGTTTCCTCAGTCAACCACAATTTCCAGTAGCACCCCCTTTTCTTTCTACACCTGTGAGGTATACTACATTCTACCTCCTATTTTTTTTTTTTTGTTTTTAGTTTTTAAAGAGAAAAAAGAAACAATAACAAAATAATAACAAAGACAAAAACAAAACAACACAAAAGCAATAAAAATGATACAGAATTTGAAAACAAGATGATAGGAAATTAACAATGGTTGTTATATTATATATTGTTATCTTCAATGAAGTTGCTCAGATTACCAGATGTAAGAATGCAAGATTGATCAAACAATTAAAGAGAATAAAAAATGATTTAAAAAAACATTAGAAATGATACAGAGTCACCACTCCTATTCAATATAGTGCTGGAAGCATTAGCCAGAGCAATTAGACAAGAGAGAGAAATAAAAGGAATAAGGACAGGAAAGGAAAAAGTGAAATTATCATTATTTGCTCATGACCTGATATTCTACATAGAAGACCCCAAAACACCACTTCAAGACTTGTAGATTTAATAACAAAATTCAGTAGTGTAGCTGGATACAAAGTCAGCACTCAAAAATCAGTAGCATTCCTGCATACAAGCAACAAACAAACTAAGAGAGAAATTAGGGAAACCACACCTTTCACAATAGTATGCGGGGCGTGCAAGCCTATAATCCCAACACTCAGGAGGCTGAGGCAGGAGGAGGATCCTTGCATGTTCTAGACCAGCCTGGGCTACAAAGTATACTCAAGGCCAGCCTGAACTGCATAGCAAGACCCTGTCTCAAAAAACAAACAAAAAAAAGACACAATAGTATACAAAAAAAATCTGCCTCCTATTGTTCAGTTATAATATTCTCTTTTGTAGCAGAGAAGCTGAGATCCCCAAATAGATTAATTATAATTATTGTGGATGTAATACTTCCTTACTGGGTGCCAGATAGCATCTATTATTTTAATCTTTTGATTTAAAGAAAGGTTAGAATAATATAAAATAATGGTATGATACATTTAAAGTGGGATTGTTTATGTTCCCCAGACTCTTCAGAAAGAGGGCAGGGCAAGTTATGCACCTCATTCAACAAGGTGGCATTTGGCAAGGGGTGGGGTCCAGGATTCACAGTGCACGCCCTGAGGTGTGCTCTGGTCCCTGACTGAGAGCCAGTGTGGTGCAGACCGGTGTTTCCATTCTGGATGCCTCTTTATACACCTAGGCAAGGGTTCACAAATCGTTGTCTCTGCCAGAAAGGGTAGCAAGTGCCAACAGGAGCGGGGCGCGTCTGTGCACCCGAGGGTATTAGTGAAGATGTGCTAAAGCACAGTATCCTCTTCTCATTTAGGTTTTTTTGTACCAGGAATCAAACTCAGGACCTTATGCTTGCCAGGCAGGCGCTTGTGCCACTGAGCTATAATCCCCGGCTCCTTCTCTTCTCTATGCCCGGTACTGCACTGCTTATAGCTGTCATGGCCTTATTTTTCCACTGAGAGAGGAAGTGGCTTGTCTCTGGTTGACTAATGTGTGCTGTCTCTAAAAATCCAGGACACATGATAACCAAAGCCATGGCACTCGTAATGAATCCTTCCCCAAAACTACTCAAGAAAGAGAAGAGAAGTAGGGAATTCTCAGTCTTCTTCCCTGAGAAGACGTGACCAGTGCTCCTGCAGTGCGCTTATGGGTAGTGGACATCTAGGCCTTGTGTTCTCACTCCTGCATAGGAAATTAACACTCTTCAAAACTTTGCTACTGAAGGATTTGAAGAATGTGTGAGCCAGAAGTGGTGGTGCACGCCTGTAAGCCCAGCACTTGTGAGGCTGAGGCAGGAGGATTGTTGTGAGCTCAAGACCAGCCTGGGCTCCAAAGTGAGCTCAACACCAGCCTGAACTGCATAGCGAGACCCTGTCTCAAAAAAAAGAAATGTCTAATGAAAACAAATTCTTAATGTAATATAGGTTGTAAAGACTTCATAAAATAAGCATGTCATTCATTTAATTTAATTGCATTATCATATTACATTTAATTAAATTATTTGTTGGTAATCCTGTTCAAATGTAGTCACCAAAACCAAAATATCTGCCCTACTTTTGGTCGCTTCTAAAAGTTTCTTATGAGATACTGACCTGCTTTATCTTCTTTCCCTAATTTTCATAGCATGATTTTGTGTTCTTGGACGTTGGTATTGATTTTTCTCCAATTGGAAGATTGATTTTTGAGGTAAGATTTTGATGTTGTTTTTCTTTTACAAGTGAAGAGTCACCTACATCTGTTGAAATGTTAAAATTTAATCTTTGAAACCTTTCATCTTTTTTAGCTGTATTGTGATACATGTCCCAAAACATGTACAAATTTTCAGACCTTGTGTACAGGAAAAGCAGGGTTTTCCGAAAGAGGAGTAAGGCTACATTACAAAGGGTCGATTTTTCATCGAGTAGTACAGAATGGTTGGATACAAGGAGGAGGTGAGTTTAAATTTTAAATAAACTTAATTGCAACATCAAATCAGAATGTCAAAAATTTCGTTTATCTACCTTTATAAAATTAATATGAATTATATATTCTTAATAATTAATATATAGAATATTTTATATGGCCAGATAATAATTAAAGTATTCATATTCTTTCTTTTAATACAGAGCCTTTGCACTGAGCTAAATCCCCAACCCTTTTTTATTTTTTTATTTTGAGACAGGGTCTTGCGACTTTGCTAAATTGCCCAGGCTGGCCTCAAACTTGCAATCCTCCTGCTCAGCTTTCTGAATAACTGAGATTACAAGTGTATGCCCATGCTGGATGTGGTGGCACACTCCTGTAACCCTAGCGCTCGGGAGGCTGAGGCAGGAGAATCGGTGCAAGTTTGAAACCAGCCTGGGCTACAAAGTGAGCTCAAGGCCAGCCTGAACTGCACAACGAGACCCTGTCTCAAAAAAAAAGACAAAAAAAATAGAAAAAAACAACAAGTATGTGCCCATATGCCTGTTTTATGTGTATTCATTTTTTTAAAAAGTCCCTAGTTATTAAAGTCAATAAATTTAGCCAGGCATGGTGACATAAGCCTGTAATCCCAGCACTCTGCATTGCTAAGGCAGGAGGATAAAAAATTTGAATCCAGCCTGCACAATTTAGAAACCTAAATTAGGCCCCATCTCAGAATAAAAAATTGAGCTAGGGATGTAGTTCAGTGCAAAGGTCCTAGATTCACTTCCCAGTACTACAGATAACTAAATTAATAAATACGTTTAAATTACCAGGAAGATTCCCAATTAAAAACTGACATGAATGTAAAGTGACTTTTTAAATCAAAAAGATTTTGAACGCTCAACAAAATACATAAAATGTTGGATAACTCATCCATCCCTGTCCAGGGTGAACAGGTCCCCAGAACAAGGTACCCATGCATGAAAAGAAAAAGAGACAAGAAAAGCAAGAGAAGCAAAAGTCTGGGATCAAGGGGCTTACAGCCTCTTGGGCTGCAGCCCTGAATACCAATTTCACCTTTTATTGAGCAAGAACCAAGAGTGTAGCCAGTACAAATGGGCAGATACCAAACGTTTTAGCAAGGATAATTAAAGGATTACCCTTCTCCACGTGTAATCCAACACACACCTGTAATCCCAGCATTTAAGAGGCTGAGACAGGAGGAGTGTAAACGCAAGGTTAATCCAGGCTGGGGCTGGGGATTTAGCTCAGCGGCACAGCGCTCGCCTGGCAAGTGCAAGGTTGTGAGTTCAATTCCCCAGTACTGAAAAAAAACAAAAAGAAGGTTAATCCAGGCTGTATAATGATGCCTTATGTTAAGAAACTCTAATAAATAATAAACAAATCATTGTGTCCTCAATGCATTCTAACCAAAGAATGTCCTTCTCCACAGTAAAAGTATCTGGAAATATATGGCTTTTAAGAAATATACCATGGATGGGAATTTGAAAATAGAATAAATGGAAAACATCCCTTACCACAGATGTTACATTATTAGTAGTGAAAAGTATATCTGAAGTATCTTGGTCTTCATTTTTGCTTTCTTTTCAGCTCAGTCCTTTGGCTCTGCAGACAAGGTGTCTGATTAACAGCACAAAATTTAATTTTTGGAGGGCTGCCGGGAGATATTCCATAGGGAGCAATCAGGCAATTCAGAAATAATTGGTTTAGTGTGGTAGATTTGCTTGAACTTGATGACATATGCAGAAGCTTAAGTTGATATTTAATTTTTTAGCATGACCTGGAGCATTCTGAGGCTGATGCAGGAGAAAGTGTAGACGTGTTCCAGGCATCTTGTATGGGGGAGCAGCTCTTTGACCCCCAGTCTTTCCAGAGTGAGATCAGTTCACAAATACTGCTATCTAACCTCATTGTTTTTCCACTTAATATGTGGTATTTATCGTCCTGTGTCAATAAACATACAATATTCTTGTAATCTTTCTAGTTTTTTGTAACATTGTTAAACCAGTTTAATTACCCACTAATGAACATTTTTCAATTTTGTTAGTTTATAACAGTCCTCAAGGGGGCCGATATCAGAGGCTTCTTTTTTATTTTTATTTTTTAAGTTTATTTATTTTTTGGTTTTTTGAGGCAGGGTCTCATTTTGTAGCCCAGGCTGGCCTTGAACTCATGGCAGTCCTCCTGTCTCAGCCTCCTAAATAGTAGGATCATAAGGCAGGCACCACCACGCCTGGCCCAGAGCCTTCTAATGCTGAGTCTGATGGTGACTCAGCGAGCTAAGATCTCTGCTACGGCATTCTTTTCTGATTTGGGTTCTGATTAAATTCTCCCAGAACAATGCTTGGAAAAAGTAGGTCATATTATTTGTTTATTTCTTTGAGGTAAAATTTCCTAATAGCGTAGTGCACAGATTTTGAGTCATGGTTTCAGGCAATAAGGGAACAGTGTTAGGGGCAGTTTGGAAAAAATGAGATCGTTACATTCAGACCCAAACCCTGACACAGACGTTGGCTATGCCTCATAGCGTCTGTGAATCGGCTTCTTAACGCTGCAGTAAGGACAGCTGTGAACAGGAGCGCAGGATGTGGGAAAGGCTCCGCGACACGAGTGCTCTCTGTGCCCTGCCCTGGAAACTGGCCTTCCCCCTGAGATGTCCCATCTGCTCTGGGCAGTGTAGGATTTTAGAGCGCAGGAGCAAAGTGTCCTTTTGCCCACAACCCTGGATGCTTCCGGGAACTGTTGCTCGCCTATTAGGACACCTGGCTCCACCCAGCCCACTCTCCCTACGCTCATCTGCCCCCTCCCTCTAGTTCCCTCTGCCCGCTCGTGGCCTCCTAGCTCTTCCTCGTGCACATCAAGTATATACGGGCCTGGAGGTCTTCCGTCTTCACTAGGTGTCCCCCTGCCTTGCTGATTTTTTTTACTTTTTAAATTTTATTTTATTTATTTCTTTTGCCTTGCTGATTTTCACCCAGAGTGCATCTCAGCGAGGACCTAGCTGACTACCTGGTGTTATTTTTTTTTTTTTGTCTTTTTGAGACAGGGTCTTGCTATGCAGTTCAGGCTGGCCTTGAGCTCACTTTGTAGCCCAGGCTGATGTCGAACTCACAGTGATCCTCCTGCCTCAGCCTCCCAAGTGCTGGGATTACAGGTGTGCGCCACCACACCCAGCAAAAATTATCTTTTTTGAGGACCTATATTTTTCTATTTCTTTTTTTTTTTTTTTTGTACTGGGAATCGAACTCAGGACCTTATGCTTGCCTGGCAGGCACTGTGCCCCTGAGCTATATCTCCAGCCCTGACTGCAATGTTTAAAACAGCTCACTTTTCTCTTCATGCTCCTGTCCTCCCGTGGCCCTTGCTCTCCTACCCTTACCCTGCTTTTTTTCTCTCCATACTGCATTTCCCCGTTGGAGTTACCATTGTATACATACAGGACACACTGTTACATGTTATCTTATTTATTTGTTGTCTTTTTCTCTTCACTAGAATATGAATTTCATGAAGGTAGACATTTTTATTTATTTGTTTTTCAATGTTGCAGCCTATATTCTAGAACAGTGTTGGGCATAGAGCAGGTACCTAATAAACATTTGTTGAATGTATTGATGAATAAATAAGTGAAGAGAGAGTTGAGCAGGAAGTATACATCCTCTTAATTTTGAAAGCACAGCTGGACCTGGTGGCGCACGCCTGTAATCCCAGCACTTGGTAGGCTGAAACAGGAAGATTGCTGTGAGTCTGGCCAGCCCAGGCTACATAGTGAGACCCTGTCTCAAAAAAACAGATAAACAAATAAAAGAAAAGAAAAGAAATCTCAGAATAAAGAATCCCATATAATTCATAAAAGGCAGAAACAAGCAGTGTGAGGATAGGGTTTCAGAAGTCGAGGACATAAGAAATACATGATGAATCGCTCAGAGAAGCCTTAATAATAGGAGAGCAAGAAAAATTTACCTAACACCTACTAGATGTAAGAAGTCTAAGAAGACCGAGCTAAGGCTCATTGTAGTTAGAAATTAGGAGAAAACACACATGGAATAAAAATTTGTTTGCAGAAATAGCAGAAAATTTGCCAAGTATGAGAAAAGAACTCAACCTACAGGTAAGTGCAGCCTACAGGATGCCAAATCACTGATACAAAAAGAAGCTTCTTACAACACATCATAATTAAATTCCAGATGTTGAACAAAAAGACAGAAGCTTAAAAGCTGTCAGACGGTGTAGTGGCACATACCTGTAATTCCAGCACTAGGGAGGCTGAGGCAGGAGGATCACTGCAAGTTTGAGGCCAACATGGACTACAAAGTGAGTTCAAGACCATCCTGGACTAGCCGGGTGTGGTGGCCCATGCCTGTAATCCCAGCACTCAGGAGGCTGAGGCAGGAGGATCGTTGCCAGTTCTAGACCAGCCTGGGCTACAAAGTGAGCTCAAGGCCAGCCTGAACTGCATGGTGAAACCCTGTCTCAAAAAGAGAGAGAGGAAAAAAACTGTCATAAAAAAGCAAAAACCCATTAGGGTTACAGCAGACTTCTCGACACAAAGTTTAAAGGCCTAGAGAGCTTGGAGTGAAGTGTTTCGAATCCTAAAAGGAAACAATTTCCAACCCAAACTATCTTTCAAAACTGATGGAGAGTTCTGGGTGTGGTGGTGCACACCTGTAATCCTAACACTCGGGAGACTGAGGCAGGAGGATCACTGTGATTTCGAGGCCAGAGTGGGCTACAAAGTGATTTCTAAGCCAACCTGAACTGTGTAGTGAAACCATGTCTCAAAAGGAAAACAAAAATTGATGGAGAAATAAGGACATTCTACAAAAAAGAATAACAGATACATGAACACCAAACCAGCACTCCAAGGAAAATACTCCAGAATATTATAGACAGAGACAGTGATCCCAACCAAACCAAAAAGTCAGATAGAATGAATACATCAAGTAAGGTGAGTAGTTAAACAAAAAAGGAAAAATAAAGGACTCAACAACAGAAAAAGAGCACAATGACAGAAGTCAGTCAGTACCTTTCAGTGATAATTCTCAATGTAAATGACCTCAACTCCCCAATTAAAAAACATAGATTGACACACTGGATGAAAAAAAAAAAAAAACTCAAGCCAGATATGGTGATGCACACTTGTAATCCCAACATTTGGGAGGCTGAGGCAGGAAGATCCATGTGAGTTCAAGGCCAGGCTGGGCTACATATCAAGACCCTGTCTCAAACAAACAAACACAAAATAAAACAAGTACCCCCACCAAAAAAATAAACTGTGACCACAGTGATAATTTAATATTTCAGTATTTCAAAAATTTACAGTGTAATTGAAGCTACCTCTAAGTTATTATGACAAAATGGAATCATGAAAGTAAAACTGATTTGCAAGATACAGCTGAAGTTCCTATACAGTACTTTCATGGTATCGCTATTAAGTGAATGGGTGGACTTACGTAGTCACTGGTGCAAGTGGCATCATTATTTCAAGTATCTTTTACCCCGTGATTATGGTACTTTCACCCACTTTGGACTCAGAATCCTATTTATTATTTCTCAGATATAGTCGCTGGAAAAGGAAATGATGGGGAGTCTATCTATGGACCAACATTTGAAGGTATGGCTCTTCACATTTTGTCAGTGCTATATTAATTGATTATTCAAATTTAGGAAGAGTAGATGCTTTGCAATCCCAATAAGACGGTGTTGGGAGTAAATGTTTAGTAAAAGGGGGAGTTAAAATTCATGGGGGAAGGCACCCTGGTCCAATCCAGAACATGGGTTAATTGAACTTTAAAAAGGAGGGGCTGCCAGGGATATAGCTTAGTGGCATAAGTGCCTGCCTGGCGAGCTCAAGGTCCTGAGTTCAATTCCCATTACAAAAAAAAAAGGGGGTGGGTGCTGGGGATGTGGCTCATTGGTAGAGTTCTTGCCTTGCATGCATAAGGCTCTGTGATCAATCCCCAGCACCACCACAAAAAAAAGTCTAGCCAGGTGTGGTCCCAGCACTGAGGCATGAAGAGCTGTGAGTTCAAAGCCAGCCTGGGCTACAAAGTGAGCTCAAGGCCAGCCTGAACTGCATAGCAAGACCCTGTCTCCAAAAGACAAAACAGTAACAACAACAACAAGAAAAGAATAGGAACTGCATTTGATCAGAGCCCAACCAACATTTTAAATCTGAGTTATAATGATATTATAAAATAAAGCTTAGTTGGCTATCTTTGGGGAATGATAGGAAAACAATTTATTATCTTATACTTGATATGTCTAGGCATTTATCCTGCCTTTCCTATGTGAACTATCCCCAACTGTAGATAACAAACATCTCTTCATAAAAGTATTCCAGCCAGGTGTGATAGCGCAAGCCTGTAATCCCAGCACTCGGGAGGCTGAGGCAGGAGGATCGTTGTGAGTTCAAGACCAGCCTGGGCTACAGAGTGAGCTCAAGGCCAGCCTGAACTGCATAGTGAGACCCTGTCTCAAAAAGACAAAATAAATAAAAGTAATTAATAAATGAAAGGAAATAGAATAGCATGTGTTTTGCTGCCCATGGGGCAGTCACAGGTATAGACATTGGCTGCATTGCTGTTTACTGAATTTATAAGAACAGAAGAACAGAGACAATAGATATTCTGGGCCTGCTGTGGTGGGAGTGCCCCACCTAAGGCCTACAGCACCAGTCAGGTGTGGGCGATCAATGCCAGGGCTTGCTCGTACTGGGCAAGTGCTTGGTCACCAAGCTATTGTTCCCCAGCCTGGCAGGTCTTTTAACATGGGAAAGGCCAAACTCTAGTGCTGTGGGATGCCCAGTTGGTTTCATGATAGAACTCCTGCATAGGGAAGCATGTGCGTGGTTCTATAAAAGCCTATGGGGGCTGGAGATCTAGCTCAGCAGCACAAGCACCTGCTTAGCAAGCACAAGGTAGTGAGTTCGATTCCCGGTATCAAAAAAAAGAAAAGAAAAGAAAACGCCTATGGAACTGTTACTTTGAGTGAGAAGGGGGACTGAATTAAAAGCAGGGTTTGTATACCGGGAATGGTGGCACATGCCTATAATCCCAGCACTCAAGAGGCTGAAGCAGGAGGATCCCTGCAAATTCAAGGCCTCCCTGGTCTACATAGCAAGACCCTGTCTCAACAAAATAAAATTTAGAGCTTAATAACCACAACAGCTAAACTCATTCTAATTAAGCTTAACTCAATGAATTAAAATGAACGAAATAATGTATAATTTAACTAGATTATTTAACTAGACTGTAACTAATTTATTTTAACTTGAAGAAAAGCTGTTCTGCTTTGTTGTGAATCAAAACATTTAAAGCCCTGAATAAATAGCTTCGCTTTCTGCTCAGGCAGATTTCATGTGTGGTTCTGCCGGGTGACTCCCACTCCCGCTGTGTCTCTGGGAGAAGCACGCAGAGGCGAACAGGCTCGAGTCAGACCCTTCTGCTCACAGCGGCCTCGCTGCTCCCCGGAGGGCGCACAGCCTCTGCGTGGGCCGCACCCTGTTTAGGTGCATCTGCGGAGGCTGGGCCCCCTCAGCACTGCCATGGATGCCCCAGGGTTCTTGTTTGTTTGTTTGTTTGTGATGGGAGAGAAAAGCAGCTTCATTTAGCACTGAAGCCAAGGAACTTCGTATCAAGAAATAATTTTTTTAATGTATGGCTTTGAAGTTTAGAGCTCGGAGTGAGCTGTCAGGAGGTGGAAGGAAAGAAGAGTTGGTAAAATCGAGAACTGTAGGGAGGTGGACAGACCAGAGAACCAGTCCGAGAGACAAGACGGAGCAGGAGGACATTGATCTCTCTCCTGTAATACCTTAAGTCTGTAAAGCTATTTAGAGTAGAATTCCTTCTTATACGTAACGTTATCTCAGGGCTTGGGATTTAGCTCAGCGGCACAGCACCTGCTTGGCAAGCGCAAGGTCGTGAGTTCAATTCCCGGTACCAGAAAAAAAACGAAAAAACAAAAACAAAAAAAAAAAACAACATAATATTATCTTAGAAAAAATGTGAAGCATCTTTTATTTTCTTGCTGTGTTGCCCAGTGTGGACTTGAACTTCCTCCCAGGTCAGCCTCCTCAGGACTGGGACTGCGGGGCGCAGCTAGCCCTGCCGTCCACATCACTCCATCACCTCCTCAGAGGGGTCCACAGAAGGCCTGGCCGTGGTGCAGCACCGAGCAGCTGTCCTCAGCCCTGCTGTCACTACACTTGTGGGAGCAGCGCAGCCCCAGGTCCCCAAGACCTACATTAGCATTCTATGCTTACGTGGCCCAGGATGCAAGAATTGTTTTTCACGTTTTTTGTTTCAGATTATACATTGAGCTTCGTAAATGAAGAACTACCTACACCTTTTCAAAACACACTTTCTTTGGTTCCTTTGTATCAGGGATTTTTTGTTTCTTTCTTTCTTTTTGTTTTTGAGACAGGGTTTCCCTATGTAGCCCAGACTGGCCTTGAACTTGCAGCAATCCTCCTGCCTCAGCCACTGGAGTGCTAGGACTACAGGCATGTGCCACCACACCTGCCTATATCAGTGGGGTTGTTTTTTGTTTGTTTGTTTTTTTGGTACTGGGAATCAAACTCAGGACCTTGCACTTGCCAGGCAGGCGCTTGTGCCACTGAGCTATATCCCCGGCCCTTATCAGTGGTTTTTGAAATTGTCCTCTAAAGAGTTTCATTTGGGTCCTGAAGAAGAGCTATCTTCAGCCAGTGAGTGGACTGCAGCCCTTTTTAAAAAAAAAAAAAAAAAATCTATTTTAGCCAAGTGCATAAAAATCTATTTACAGCCAAGCCTGTAATCCCAGTACGTTGGGAGGCTGAGGCAAAAGGATTGAAAGTTTGAGTCCAGCCTGGACAGCTTAGTGACTTAGTGACACCCTGTCTCAAAATAAAAAATAAAGTGGGGCTGAGGGTGTAGCTCAGTGCAAAAACCTCAATCGTCAGCAACACCAAAAAAAAAAAAAAAATGTATATATATGTATTATACGTGGACTTTCATACAGGTTGCATTCTATGGTAGGTATTACAACTGCTTTTAAAATTCTTCCATAATCAGAGTTTTTGGTAAAAATGCTATTATGCTATAAATCTTTACTGTTGCTTGTAGAATTTAAGAAAAATCCATCATAATATCTAACAGCAATGATAAATACTGTTTTTCAAAAACTGTGTGAATTTTTGCACTCGGCGGATTTCCATTCCACAAATGGTTTATTTCTCCCTCACTGAAATGACCGTGGAGCACTGGGGTAATTACACAGCCTCATGGGTATAAAAATGTCTCAGTTGCATTTGTACGGTATCTCAGAGCTCTTCATCCAGCTCACAACTGCACAAGCTCTAAGTCACCGCCACCAAAATGCCTTCGCTCTGTAGTTTGCTTTGTTTTGAAACTTAAAATGACAGTCAGCAAGTGCAGGTTAGTAAGATCTTTTTGTTTTTGTCTTTTTGAGACAAGGTCTCGCTCTGCAGTTCAGGTTGGCCCTGAGCTCACTTTGTAGCCCAAGCTGGCCTCAAACTCGCAGCGATCCTCCTGTCTCAGCCTCTCAAGTGCTGGGATTACAGGCGTGCGCCACCGCACCCTGCATAAGATCTTATTAGTAGTTTAATATTCATATTTCTCAGTTACTCTCAGAACTTTATAAAGTTACTGAGTAAAAACTCTTCCTGAGTTTCTAACCCATCACTTCTTTCTGTGATTTGAACTTAGAGGCAGACCCAGAAACATTTCTGGAAAATGGTAGCTTGATCGCCGCTGTACAATTCTTTCAATTCTTTTTACTTGCTAACTTTACACTAAAAGAAAACTGTTGCTTGCCACAAAACCTTATGAGGTTTGAGGGTAAAATGTGTGAAGATGGTAACAATGAGCATAAATTAATTTCATCATCATCAGTATGCAGGGCCACACCTAACCAAGACAAGGTGCAGTGCTGTCAGAGTTAAGTGGATGAGCTGGGGATTTAGCTCAGTGGCACAAGCGCCTGCCTGGCAAGCACAAGGTCCTGAGTTTGATTCCCGGTACAGAAAAGAAAAACCCAGAGTTAAGTGGGCGATGCCACTAGGGGAGTGGCAGACCTAGCAAGGACTTCTCAAAGGAAAGTTACCTTTATTAAAAAAAAGTACTGGTGTATGTTTAAGATTTAGAAGAAGTGCTTTTAACAACCACATTGGTAGTTGGAATGAGGTACTGCTGCTAACACAGCATGGGAAGGTTTCTGACATTCGTTGCTAAACTGAGTGTGTACTTTTTACGTTACTTTCCTAGCATTTATTTTTAGCAAAGATAAACTAGAACTAAATACTCAAATAGTTCTAAGATTTTGCAGCATATCTTTTCACTGTCCGTGTGAATGTTTGCAAGTATCATGAGAAAATAGGACATTTACCATTTGAAGTGTGTTGATTTGTAAGATTGAGATTATTACCGAAGTCCTGTTTCTACCCCACTGTTAAAATCAGTGCGATCACAGAAATATTTTATTGATCTACTGATTATTGTCCTTCCTAGATGAAAACTTTTCAGTTCCTCATAATAAAAGAGGAGTTCTTGGAATGGTCAACAAAGGCTGTCACAGCAACGGGTCGCAGTTCTATGTCACACTACAAGCAGCTCCCTATCTAGATAGGAAGTACGTGGCATTTGGGTACGTACTCGGTAGGTGTGTGTGTGTCATATGCACGAAATGTTCAAAAACGTTTGGGTGAGATTGCACTCAGTCTCTGAGCAGCCAACGATAGAGCAAAGACAAAAGTAGTGCGAA